GATAGATAGATAGATAGATAGATAGATAGATAGATAGATAGATAGATCTGAAAAAGAGAAATCTGCCTACATAGCAGAAACTGCTCTTGCTTGTAGAAACGTTACAAGTGTTTGACCAATCAAACATTCTTAGCTCTGTTCGCTCCAAAGAAGCCGTTTATTCCCTTGTCACTAAGGCTTAAACTTGAAAAAACTTGAAATGAAAAACTTAACACCTTGATGTCCTGTCATATCTATGAATCCTAATCTTTTGCACTCAGAGGGTCACATTCACTGTTAATGCCTCAAGAAACTGTGGGACAGCATCATCTCCATTCCTGTCCTACAGTATGGTCTAATTTGCTTCAAGTAATGAAATTTAAGGACCCTCCTGAACTGTGTGTAATCTCCTGTCCCCAGCTGACGTCCACACATTCAACGCTCTGATTTCAGCAGCTCCAGACGTCCGAGAGAAATACAACGAGCGATGGGACCTCTTAACTGTAAGGCGAAATGCACACATTAACGTTCATAATAACTAGAAGAAGCCGCATTATGGTTTTAATGTTTAATTAATTTTATGACAAAAATTTGAGTAGTTACATGTTACATGCAGCTCACATTCTATGTGTTTTACGTACGTTTTTAGGTTCAAATGAAGACAATAATTAAATTAAATCAAAAAGTACTTCTGGGGCAGGAAATATCTTTGAAGATATTTGAAGATTTTAAAGTGAAAGCTTATATGCTAACTTATTCACATAATTGTTCTGGTTCGTGATTCACTTCCATTTACATTTGTGTGGTTTTGACTTTTGGGATGTTAACAAGTATGACCCAAATCTCCAAATATGGAGGCAAGTTGGATCAAATCCACTTTCATGTTGACCTGCAGCAGTATCACTATAGGTTTAGAGCATTCATAAATTGATTACTAAAAATCAAAGCTAAAACCAGAGGTGTCCACCACTTAGTGTAAAGCTGCGTGTGTGGTTCCTGTATGTAGGAGCTGCTGACCCAGATGAATCAACAGAAAGTTCGTCCCAACCTGCTGACCTTTAACAGCATCCTGAAATCTCTGAGACGCTGTGGCTATTTGGCTAAAACACAAGCTCTGCACACTTTGAATGAAATGAAGGCGCTGGGGATTGGTAAATAATACACAAACATGCACACAAATTCACAATTATTTCTTATTGGGCCCTGCACTAAGTGAAGTTTGTGCATTCAGCTCCCAGCTTGGCCAGTTATGACCACATCCTGGCAGCATTTTTCAAAACTGGTATGTAATATTAAAGGTCTTACAAACGGGGGACATTTGCCTTTTATGAGTTGGATGTTTCCTCTTTTTTTTCCTCAAGCTGCCTCAGGGCCCAGCAACAGCGACGTTTTACAGGAAGTGATGACGGAGCTAGAAGGATCCAGCTTTACCTGCCAGGACCCTAATGATGGTGGGTCTCAGTATTTCAGTGAAGCTCTCCTAGAGTCAGCTCCCAAAGTCCATTAAAGTCAGCTTGTGTTCTGTCTTTTTCTCCAGTTTTATTCTTTTCCAGTGCAATGAGAATAGTAAGTGTCTTTTTCCTAGTCTAACATTCATATCCATTTGCTTACTTCTAGATTTGTTTGTATAAACATGGTGAAATAAAATAAAAAATTATCTTAAATCAGTTGACCTGTTCAGTCATTTTCAGGTTGGTAGTGAAAGCATCTGCCACATTAGTCAAGCTCTAAACTTTTACACCCCCTGTTTCTCTCTGGGCATCTTTGTTTGCAGTGTCTGGATAGTAAAGATCTGGAGCTGGGTTATAGAGTGCACAGTCTAGTAGAAGTTGGAGAGAACTGGAGGCTGCTGGGAGACTCTTACCAACAGAGTATTTACTAGTGAGTACGAGCTTTGTTGTCAAGTCCCAGATAAAGTGGTCCCAATGGCTTTTGTCATGCTGGGCGAGAGTCTTTGAATTCTTACCAAATCTTACTCCCTTTCCTGTCCTCCAGTGGCCGCTTCTTCAACCTGTTGTGCATGATGGAGCAAATTGATGTGGTGTTGAAGTGGTACAGACGCATTATCCCCTCGGTCAGTACATCTGTGCATCTCGCTGTTCGGTCACAGCAGAAACGACTGCTTTAACAACGCTGTAAATTCTTTACACTTTGATTATCACTTCTATATCTATTGTTTAGTCTTCTCTGATTGCAAACGTAGTTGCAAATGGTTGTCTGTAACTTAACAACAGGCTGCTTTGCATTGGTTTTAAGAAAAAATAGGAATTGAAGTTTGGAACAAAGAAGTCATGCTCATTAAAAAAAAGTTAAAAAAATATTGGGCTTCCTGCTTATACTTCCTGCTTTCCATTATGGTTTACAGTTGTACTACCCAAACCCTCAGGGAATGAGGGACCTGCTGCAGGCCCTAGACACAGACAGCCGTCTGGACCTGTTGCCCACTATATGGAAAGGCAAGTTCAGATCGAATTATTAAATATAGATTTCATACTCTGTGAAGCTTTACTTTCGGTTGTAAATCATTTGCCCCTGTTGCATTTGTTTTTTAGATATCAAGACCTTGGGTCACGATAACAAGTCTGAGCTGGTGGAAGAGCTGCTAGGCTTGATGGCCAGAGAGAAATCCAGTCCAGAGGTGAAAGTGAAAGAGCGGCAGCTTTGGTCACTAGAGATGCAGTGTTTTATTCATCTGTGTTTTAGAACAGAGGATAATGTTTAATCTCACCTCTGCAGGTTCAGGAGTCTTTTGCTGTCTGCGCGATGGATGTAAAAAGTGTGATCGATGGGAGGCCAAACCAAGAATGGAGCGCCTCCTCTCTATCCCACGTCACCACCCTGCTGCTCTGGGCCAACAAGACCCAGCAGGCCTGGTGAGAGACATAGCTGGGTGGTTTTCTGTTTTACAAACAATGTTTTTTTGGGGGGCAGGAGAAATGTGGCTTCACACCCTGTCCTCTTTTTCTCTGCAGGAAGATGCTGCAGCTCTTCAAAGCCAAAAACAGAGTTCCTTCGTAAGTGTTCTGCCAAAAAGACGGGATTCAGTTATTTCAGTTGAAACACTGTAAAAGAAAAATGCTGTAAAAAGTTAGTGACCGTTTGTTTCCTTCTATGTTGCCCTCCAGTGAAGAGCTCCTGAACAGCTTCCTGTCAGTGTGTTACAGCAGTGGCAATTCCCAGAAAGCCGTGGAGCTAGTCCAGCTGTCTGCGGCCTTCTGTCTGCCAACAACTTCAGGGCTGGCACAGCAAACACTGGCGAAGTTTAACCTGACTGAGGAGCAGAGGTGAGTGGATGAGGATATATGAGCACTGACAGATTTCAGCTTAATCTTAAATGGTTTAAACTTCCACAGTGCCATTTAAACATTAACAATAAAAGGAATAAATTTAGACCTAGGATCCACTTGGATTGGATCGCTTAAGAGGATTCATACACAGAAAAACTTTTGCCAAAAAACATTCCAATTATCTGGCTTAATTGTCAGACTTTGTCAACGTCCCTTTATATCTGTACTTTTTGGAACAACATCACACTTCATGCTTTGTATCAGCTCCTCTGGCCTTTCCTCCTGCTTTAATTTCACGACTTAAACAGTACTCTCAATAATCATAAGCAGTTTGTGTCAAGTTAAAGGCGATGCAAATTACATGTTTATCTAACTTTTCAACTTTTGTTTTTGGCTGATGACATTTTAATTCTTCATGTGTTTTAAGTTATGGTCTGGTGTATCAGTTAAAAAAGAAATGTTGGAATAGCTGCAGCTTTACTGAAGTTTACAAACTTCTGAACACAATCAGTTCTGATGCAGGCTTTGTGTTCAGTTATGTCACCATTGTGATCCAAGGAATTTTGAAACCTAAATGTAAAACCCATAAGATGCGTACTGTGACCATTAGGTCTCTTATAGAATGTTTCTGTGATCGGACAGCCTCCATGTCAGGGGACAGCAAAGCTTAGGTTGCAAATTTACTTGCATCTACGACGGCTTACTGAAAAACTGTGATCCCTCGTCTTAGTGTATGGGATGAAATCAAGTACTTGTGATCAGGAGTCAGGACACCAGGGCACACATTAATAACAGGCCTGAACAACCTCTTTGAAAGGCAAATCGCAGCCATTGAAGTGCAGAAAACCTCAAACAAGCTTTACCAGACTCTGTACCAACTGATATGTGTTCCGTGCAGAAAATTTATATCAAACTTTCTCTGGATACAAGACATCCAAATGCATTGAAGTATTCATTTTAACGCCAAGGTGTTGTCCTGTTATTATGTGAAATTATCATGTGATGTGGTTTTGTTTGATTTGTGCCCCCTACAGAGCCATCCTATCTGAACTGGAGGCTGCAGCAGAGCCCTCAGACTGAACAATGGGTGCTAAGCTTTTTTAAGTTAATCTGTCTGTGCTTGCCTTACTTACCTGTACAATAAAAAAATATTTAAAAAACATTTTTTCTTCCTCTTTTATGTCCAGTAGAGGCTGCTGTTTTTCCGCTTTCAGTGAATCATCACATATCTTTTTTTTTTTTTTTTTAAATCAAGATTTTTATTACTTGAAAACAGAATAAATCTTTTCCTCTTCAAGAAAACCTGTTAAGTTAGTTATAGGTGGCATTGTTCACACAATTCATGGGCATTTGCTTACAGGCGTGTGGGGGTCGGTTGTTAATGTCTCTCGGCTGCCTTACCAACTTCCTTAAATCACTGTTAAGTGATTTCCTCTGAATTTTTCATTTGTGCGAGTGTATGTCATATGCAGAGGGTCTTGAATTTTGTGGTAGACTCGGGTTTCCTTAAAACCCCCCAGCTGTCTGAAAAGAATAAGAAATATGAAGCTACGGTTGTATTTGAAGAAAAAGGCATGCAGAGTTGGTATTTGTACTGCATGGGCTGCCTGTCTAAACACGAAAAGTGACTGTACTAATGTGCGCATAACCATGTCTGTGTGTCTAAATGGTTAAAACATTTGAAAACCCTTTAAATTGATTCATTAATCAAATGTTAAAAGTTTATATTGGGGAAAAAAGCCTGATAAAGAGATTAGTTTAATGGCTGTGCTTTTGAAGCTGTGAAATGTGGTGTCAGGCAAAACAAATAAAGTCATTAATGTCCTGTCAGTACCTGTTCAAGCTCAGATGAGATGCTGGGAGCAGAAAGCAAGCCAGAACAGTTTGTAATCCAATCACACCATTCTTATTTCCCCTCAACCAATCATCAGCAGAGCTGGTAGCACAACCAAATAAGGACAACAAGAGAGAAGGTATTG